TTGTACATAACACACCAAAACTAAAAGTTTATATACAAAATTTTCTTATGTAAGACGGTGAAACATAAAAAATTAAAAACTAAATCCAAGGAAAACGTAATTATATATATATATCAAGTTTATATGGGCCTACGAAGTTTAAAAGTTATATTACAAAACATATGTTTATTTTAAGTTAACTAGTATATTATCCGTGCCCTGCGCGAGATTTTATTTTTAGATAATGATCTTTAAAAAAAAATAAAGGATAGTGTTCACCTGAAATTTATCTTATTAAAACTATATGGGAAAGAAACAATCATATTCAAAACCCAATATTAATAGAAGATAGAAAACCAAAGTAAAAAATCTTATAYAAACTACATYTCAAAYAAACTAAGAATATTCCAAACCATGACATTTTAAGATACGGCGAGYCAAGCGCGGGATAGTATTCAAGTGACATATCAATTCAATTATTCAAATGACAGAAGTTCAKTGRTTAACATATTGRTAATRGAYTTTAAAACTATATATTTGTTAGGGTAATGAATTATAATAAWCTATATATCAGAAAAAATAAATTAGAGATAATAACATTCTGATTCTTGTGTTCGTCTCCCTTTTCTCCTTCGAATATTCTCTTCCTATCTTTCTTATTTTTTTATGAGTATTTATAGAAGAATGACACTCGGCCAATACTTTTTGTCTAGTCACATCATCCATATCTTCCCTAGAGTGGTTGGTGTTTACTTTGACGYCATATGATTATAAAGCTAGCCTAYTRTGTSAYYGACACTCCGAGAAAAAAKATACTCTATTGTTCTCARAGTTGAAAATTTTAAACAAATTTGGCACAAACATTAATATTATGAAATATGATTTGAAGTATAATTTAAACTTCTGCATAATAGAGCTTGATAATACACAAATTTATTTTATAAAATATAAAAAAACTAACTACAGATAAATTATTTAATTACTATTATATACTACTGTGTATTTGATTTGTTTTAATAAAAACCTAAGACACTTAGAAAAAGACATGCTTCCCATGTTAAAAAACTTCTAATAAAAAGTTCTAAGAATCTCTCGTTTGAAAATDRATTCTCWTCMCTTTTCTTTAAAACAATARTTTTATCTTTTGTTATTTTTTATTTGTTGAGACTTAGTGATGTGAGATAGCTCAATCAGAATCATAAAACGCAAAAGTCAAAGTTTTGTTACTCAAACTCAACATAATGACACTTTTAGGACGTAAGAGTAAGATTATATGATTTCGTCCGTAACAATTTATTTATTTTCGTCAGTGGGAAATCATCCGTGGAAGCCATGGGGCCATGAGAA